GTAATGTGGCGTGTCACAGGGCAGTGTGACGATCAATACCGGCCCAGGGAGAAACAACCACAAACGTGTGGCGTAGGGCCAGAGGTGAAGGAGAGGGAAAGAGGGGGGGGGGTAACGTACAGCGCGTTGACTTCGTAAGTGCCCTCGTAGGTGTAGGCGGCCTCCATGTCGAGGAAGTGGCGCGCCACCACATTGTCGTAGATGATGCCGTTGCCGCCCAGCACCTCTCGTGCCAGTGCCACGCACTCACGTCCCTTCAGCGTGTTGTGCGCCTGCGTGCCGTGTGTGTGTGTGTTCTCGTGAGTGTGTGTGTCGTGCGCCGGCTTGAAGCGTCGAGCGATGAGTACCTTGACGAGGGAGGACTGGCCGCGAGTGACCTGGCCATGCTTGACGAAGAGCTCGGAGAGGCGCCAGGACATGAGGTACATGGCCTGGGCGTTGGCCAGCATGCGCACGAGCTTCTCCTGCATGAGCTGGAACGCGGCCAGCGGACTGCCGAACTGCTGGCGCTCCTTCAGGTGCTTGAGCGCCGCGTCGTACGAGCCCATCGCCAGACCCACCGGAAGCCAACCTTCGCATATTCTCTCGGTCAGTCCACGACACGACACACGCGACACACGACACACACGACACACACAACGCAACACACACACACGCACCATACGCGACACACGACATAAAGAGCAGAAAGAGTACCGACAAAGATGCGGGAAGCTGAGAGGATGCCCGCGGTGCCCTTCAGGAACGAGTCGGCGTTGGGGAACCGGGCGCTCTCGGGCACCACGCAGTCCTCCAGGTAGATGTCCGCGCTGCACAAGAGAATAAGTGATAAATAATAAGTGATAAATAATAAATAAACATTTCCATAAATAATAAATAATCATATCGCAAAAATAAAAATGAATAAGTGGCTTTTCAGCGCAGAGAGGAGGCGAGTACTTTTGCACGCAGCGGAAGCACATCTTGTTCTCGATCTTCTCCGTGCGAAGGCCCTTGGTGCCCTTTTCCACGAGGAAGCCGTTCACCTCGCCCGTCTCTTCGTTACGCGCCCAGATGATAATCACATCTGTTGCGCGTGTGTGCGTGCGTGCGGCGGTGTGAGTGCGAAAGAGGGGGAGAAAGAGTTGATGAGGTCATATGCCAGCGGCGCGCTGGGCTAAAGGTCGCAGGAGGCGTACCGGCGAAGGTGGCGTTGCCGATCCATCGCTTCTGGCCGTTGAGCCTCCAGCCGCCGGCCACCTTCTTGGCGGTCGTTTGCAGACCGCTGGCGTCGCTGCCCGCGCCGGGCTCAGTCAGTCCAAACGAACCTACGCCACACGACACACACATACAACGACACGCACGACAATCAGTATTTTACGGTAAATCAACGAACGTTGGATGGGGAGAGAGTATACCGACAGCGTCGACGCTGGCCAGGCGAGGCAGCCACTTTTGCTTTTGCTCCTCGCTGCCGCACTGCTCGATGGACAGCATGACCAGGTAGGTCACGATGATGAAGAATCCGGCGAACTCCGAATTCACCCGCGCCAACTCCAGCACAACCATCGCCGCGCTCATGAACGACATGCCCTGTGTGTGTGTCGTGTGTGCCGTGTGTGTGATGGACGTCAGTCTTGACCGGAACCACACACGCACGACAGGTAAGGAAGGCTGAGGTACGGGGCAGCCATAGCCCTTGATGGTGCCGCCCATGATGCCGAGCTCCTTGAGCTTGGGCAGCAGCTCGAAGGGGAACTCGGCCTTCTCATAGTACTTGTCGATCTGCACGAACACGCGTGGCCGAGCGACGGGTCAGCGGTGACATTAGAAGAAAAGAAAAGAACAATGTGTACGATCGGGGCGACGTGGTTCTGGGCGAAGGCGCGGGCCTTGTCGCGCCACTGGCGCTCCTCGGGACCGAGCAGCTCCTCGAACCCCAGAAAGTCGGACGCTAAATTAAAAAGAAATAATAACATTTTTATTATTTATTATTTATTATTTATTATTTATGAGCTGGGAAGCTGGTGGGAACGGGAGCCGACCCAACCAGCATGCGGAGGGAGGGGGAGGAGGTACGAGGCACGGC